ATGAGACCCAGACGTCGAGTCGTTAGGACGAGCACTTTTCCGACCATGAGACCCAGGTTCGAATCTCATAATGGTCGATTTGTTAAAAACATTAATTCTTGATGTTATGGAAAGCAATTACAGCGGGCAGCAGTTTTGGAAAGTGCCTGAAAACCATACCACGGTTTGACCCAATTCTTGTGGGTGAAGTTGGGTATGCCGAGAGTTTCAGCATGCTGGCCTTGATTATAGGGTGGGTAGAGCGAGAGTTTCAGTGTACTGGCCTTGACTATAGGTTGGGTAGACCAAGAGTTTCAGCGAACTGGCCTTGACTATAGGTTGGGTAGTCCGAGAGTTGCAGCGTACTGGCCTTGACTATAAGTTGGGTAGTCCTTGAGTTTCAGCATACTGGCCTTGACTATAGGTTTGGTAGACGGAGAGCTTCAGCGTACTGGCCGCGACTCTCGGTTGGATAGACCTAGAGTTTCAGCGTACTGGCCTTGACTATAGGTTGGGTCGACCGAGAGTATCAGCGAACTGGTCTTGACTATAGGTTGGGTAGACAGAGAGTTTCAGCGTACTGGCCTTGACTATAGATTGGGTAGACCGAGAGTTTCAAGGTACTGGCTGTGACTATAGGTTGGGTAGACAAAGAGTTTCAGCGTACAGGCCTTGACTATAGGTTGGGTAGAGCGAGAGATTCTGCGTACTGGCCTTGATTATAGGTTGGGTAGACCGAGAGCTTAGGCGTACTGGCCTTGACAATAGGTTGGGTAGACCGAGAGTTTCAGCATACTGGCCTTAACTATAGGTTGGGTAGACCGAGAGTTTCAGCGTACTTACCATGACTATAAGTTGGGTAGACCTAGAGTTTCGGCGTACCGGCCTTGAATATATATTGGGTCGATCGAGATTTTCAGCGTACTGGCCTTGATAAGACTATCGAAGACACTGCATCTGGGGTCTTGGACAGGCAACTGCAGCACCTCTTGGAAAACTGCTCTAGTATACAAGATACGAAGTGTCAGCCATTACATACGATGACTCCAATATCTGGCCTCGAATTTTGTCACTGTTTTCTAACATTTTAAGAACAAATCCACCGTCATTCAAATCTATCTATCTAGCTCTTAATCTTCTAGTTTTACCTATGGTTATTTTTATCGCCTCAAGCTCTTTTAGTGGTTGGTTTTAGTTATGTTAAGGAGGTTGTAATAAACTGTTCTTTCACTGGGCTGGGCAAGTGTTTGTACCTGATTAACCCAGTAACAAGAACTTATTTTCTTTTTAATCCTAGCATATGTATTTCATCTGTGTCACTCACCTCGACTTTACCCACAAAATCGAACATTCCTGAATTAGCTCAGCTGTCGCACCATTTATACACATTTAGCAAAACAGAATCTGTGACATCACTGTAACAGTAAAAGTAGTTTTTATATTAACTATTATTACTCGCAACATTTTTCGAATGTTTTTAGATAAAACATTATCAGTTATTATTATATTTTGAATTATAACTCTTTAATTGCAAATAGCGCGAATCTTCGTAGCCTAATCGGTAATGGTACTGCTTCGGAAAGCCTGGTTAAAGAGCCGAAGATATATTTCCTCTCCCTGCTGTTTACAACTGGTCTTGGAAAGACGATCTGGAACCAGGAATAACCGACTAAAAGAAAAAGCGTAATGAATTTGGACCAAAATCTAATGAGTTAGTACTGAAAAGTCCTCAGACGGATCAAGGATTTTTAAAAAAAAATTCTCATATTTGGTCAGATTTTAAGAATTTGGTTGGGAAGTTCTCTAGCGTAATTGTTAACAGCTTAGAAAGTGATACCGGCGAGGCAAGTTCAATTCCGCGTTTAGTTTGTTGCAATCACTTAAGAATGGTATAGATCCCTCTCTTCTACAACCGGATATGAGTTAAATAACACGGTGGAGTGGAGTCTATAGGCTTTGATGACTGTCAGTTTAAGAAAAAGGCTACTTTAATGTCAGAACTGTGGAGAAAAGAACGGAAAACAACTCCTCTTAAGATGAATCCGTGGGAGGAATATATGGGGAGGAGAAAATCGCGACAGTCCTGAAGAGACATGACATTAAAAATACAAGCGATATATATATATATATATATATATATATATATATATAGTTTAAAATTTGTGTATTTAGGCAGCAATCCTTCTTTCATGCACATTTCATTGAATACGACAGACAAAGTGCTTTTATTTAGTTTTTTTTTATACAGTTTCTCATGCGATCTAATAATCTTTTCTTTTTGGGTGATAAATTATATAATAACTGTCCGAATGTTCTTTTTATCCGAGCGCTTTCGGCTATACATTTAGCCATTTTCAAGGATTACATATTTTAACTGTTAAATAAGAAATAGTTTGTTGTATGTATGTTTTATAAAATGTTTTCATTTTTCAAATTGATATAGATATATATGTAGGTACTAAAAGAAGCATATTCATGAACGTGTGTGTATAAGGAAGTTTAATATCGTGTCGCAGTTGTTGTTCAATCGGCGCATAAAAATGTGTGTATATATGGATAAACGAATGCTGTCAAGTCAGGGCTAAAAACGAAAATGATGCCTATTTGTTGCCATTAGCTGGACAGGTAAGGCAGTTAAGGTAGTTTTTCTCACAACCATTAGAGCATGACAACGACAGCTTTTTTATTGCGATTCCAGGTTGTCAAAATTGTTTTCAGTGTAAGCCTTTCTCTCTCTCTCTCTCTCTCTATCTCTCTCTTTCTCACTCTCTCTTTCTCTCTATCTATCTATCTCTCCCGTCTCTCTCCGTCTCTCTCTCTCTCTCTCTCTCTATATATATATATATATATATATATATATATATATCAGACTGTTTATTATTGTTGAGATGTTGAGTGTTTCCGCGTGGGTCTATTGAAATAAGGACAAACACATACGTAGGGAAAAATACTGGTATATCTGAAGAGGTATTTACAACAGAGAGATTAGTAGTCAAACGAACGCAGGTTAGACAGTAACAATCAGAAAGAGTATAAAGTCCAACTGTATCTTCCGGTAGAGAGACGGAGTGTGATGGTCACCTGATCTTCCCAGAACTCTATAGAACTGTCCTATAAGTAGTAGAGAGATCAGTCCATTCTGATGAGAAGGTGGGTGAGCCCCAACAATTATCTATGTCTCTTCATTAGCTATCTTTTTTCTTTTCTTTTTTTAATCATTTCACCGAAGCAAGGCAATAAAGCCACTAAGACATAAGGAGTTACTGAGTATTAGAGAGTATGAAAGAAGAAAAATACTATTAAAGAGAGAGAACAATAAAAAAAAGAAACATAAAATGACGATAGACATTGTATTTATATTTTTGAAGATCATAGTTGACTTGGAAGCAATAAGCCGGAAGAGAGTTCCACAAGTAATAAATGCAACAGAAGAAACTGTTAGCATAGAACTTACGGTTAAATCTAGCTATTTCAACTGTAACTTGATGAGACCTTGCCGCCAATGTAGTACTGTACTTAAATTCGTAAAGTCTTCGTACTACAGAGGAAAGTTCATCAGAACAATTAACACGAAAGAAAAGGCACAGGGAAACAACATTACGACGTTGAGAAAGGAACTGAAGGACAGATGCCAGATCAGGACCAATAACATTGCAGATTCTTCTTTGGATTTTAGCAAGAATCTTTAAATGTACAACAGGAGCAGCAGACCATAAAAAATTAAGTTATAGTTGTACTGATAATCTAGAAAAAATATACAAAAACATAATAATAACATTTCGAATAAACACTTAAACCTAAATAAAAATAATAGTGATTCCAGGACGAAAAATATTGATAATAAATTATGTAACTGTAGAAATCCCATAAATTGTTTATTACAAAATAAATATCTTGCTGAATCTATAGTTTACCAATGTACTATTTCATCTATTGAAAATTCAGATGTTAAGAAATTTCATATTGGAAGCAAAAAAGACTTTTTATTTTAAGATGGTACCAACATATTCTCCTTTCAACAACAATGGGTATTGTAACCGAACATTCCTCTCTAAATATTTTTAGTATTTAAAAGAAATTGATTAAAAAAAAAAACACAGTAAAATGGAAATTATTAAAAAAACGAGAATTTGTAAGTCATTAAATGACCCATGTCCTCTGTGTCTACATGAAAGCTATATATCATTAAGTTTCCTAAAAATAATGATTTATTAAATTAACGAAATGAATTAACTGTATTTTGTAGGCGAGGCACAATGTTTACATTAAAATACAGTTAATAGGATTTTTTATAATAAAAAATCTATATATTATAATTATATATCTCTTATTTGATTACATATAATGGTAAATATAATATTTACTTAATTCCTTGACTTAATTTTAACATTGTCATGTCTAATTGAACTATTGAATGTAATAAGTATTGTATTTAAATCAAAATAATTAAATATATAAAACTTATTTAATCATACTAGAGGCCCCTTTAAGACAGTCCTAAAGAATATACAAATAAATAAATAAATAAAATAAAATCCCAAAATTAACCTATACATAACATTATAGTATTAACATATACCTCTCTGATTTATTTCATTGTATCTTATGAATATACTCTTAATCGAAAGAAATGGTGACACATTTATGCATGACGTCTCATCTAGACAAGTATAAGTAACATACACACACCTAACCTCTAACCTACGTCTTTTTTATTTTTCTACTTTAGCTTAGATGTGTCTTTTGATTCGTTAAACACATAACATAACATTTTGAAATCTTGTTCCCAATCCTACTTAAACACTTCAATACAACGCCGATTTAGAAAATAAATCATTTTATTCAAAAGTTACTGAATATCGCTTGATAATTGAACAACTTTAAGGTTCCGAACATAGAAATTTCCGTGTTGCGATGAAAAACTATTTTTAAATAAAAATATTATCTACTTTGTATCGAGCACTTTTTTAAACAAATAAATGCAAAAGAACTCTAGATTATTAATCTGATTGATATATATATATTTGTATTTAGGCAGCAAATTCTCTTTTAGCCATGTCTGATTAAGTTAATTACAAACTTTATATCTGTTTAATTTTAGCATAATTCTTTTATATTTACGGGTATTTTTCCGTGTATTACTATCAAATGATGCAGTTACAGTGCATTTCTTGCATTATTTGATTATAATACACCGACAAATATCCGTGAATATGAACGGATTATGCTAAAAATAAGCAGAAATAATGTTTGTATTAATATATATACATACATATATATATATATATATGTATGTATATATACATATATATATATATATCAACAATTTTTCTCTTAACAAGAAGAGGTCACAGGCCTTACCTATTGTGCATCAGGCATAGTAAGTACTGGTACCTATCCTGGATTGCTGACGCATCCAGGATTGCTAGGAGTTTTAATTTATATTTTTCCTTTTGCAAAACCGTTTGTCCTATAACGGATCAAGAGCTCAGTTGGGTTTAGACAAAAGTTTAACGTTTTTCAGTAAATAGTGCTTGAACACAGGATTTCGTTTAATACACGATTAAAACATATGACATATATACGGTTTTTTAATGGTTCCGCTCTAAGCAAGGCAATGGTTGTATAATATTGTGGGTGGGGACAGAAAATGAAAGTGAAAGTGAAAGATAAGACTGAGAATAGAGAGGATTGAGGAAACGACACAAAAAGAAACAGGTTTCAAAGACAACAGGGCTAATTGAGGTTGCATTTAAATTTTGAAGATAATGGTTATCAGGGAAGTAAGAAAACGCAAGAGAGTTCCACAGGTGAGAAGTGCGAGAAAAGAAACTGTTGGTGTAGAAGTTGCGGTTGTATCTAACTAGTTCAACAACAAAAAAGTGGGACCTAGTTTCCAATCTAGTATCTATAAATTAATGAAGGAAGCCACGTCGAGATACCTTGTTTTGAAAGCTGACATTTCAGTTTGTCTCTCGATATGATTAGTGTGAATTTCAAGTATTTTTATGCGAAAAGAGAAAATGGTCGAAAATGAGAAAATTTTTGTCATTTAGCAGTCTTTTTTTTCTTTCAGGTATTAATGAAAAAATCGCTGTACAAACAGTGAAAAAGATATGTGCTGTTTACTTGAATGGTGCCATAGCTGAAAGTACGATTCACTGGGTTCAGAAACTATGATCTGGATGATAGAGAATGTTCCAGTAGTCATGCAGTAGTCGATGATAATCAAATGCAAATGCTGATAAGAAGTAGTTGAGGTCATAGGACAGAGGACATCGCAGAAATACTCTGTATTTCTCATATGAACGTTTTCAGGTATTTACAAAGATTTGGATGCGGTTTAAATGAGTTAGAAACAGATAAATATGAGTTATTTTCCGGTGCATTATTCATTACTGAATCGCTGACCTAAATTAAATTAAAAACCGAAAACCGGAAATGGGTGAATACATTTGTGGTGACACTACGCACAATAAAAGACGATATAATCTAAACTTAAAAATAAGAGAGAGAGAGAGAGAGAGAGAGAGAGAGAGAGAAAAGAAAAAAGGGGTAAAATGGGGTGGGGGCAACTAAAGAGCCGCTGTGCAATCAAGAACATTTGACAAAGGTAATATCAACTACAGGTTACAAATTTAATAAACACGAATATTTAATCTAGCAAGGACCTACTATTTTTATGCCCCAAAACACATACGTATATACACACGTACACAACAACATATTTACACGTACATACATACATATACGCACACACACACACACACATATATATATATACATGTTTCATTAAATAATATAGACAAGTGTTGTCTATTTATTTTATGTAAATTCTTTTCATAAGGTCTGATAAGCTTAATAAGTTTAATGATAATGTTATTAAGCTTATCAGACGTTATGAAAAGAATTTACATAAAATAAATAGACAACACTTGTCTATATTATTTAATGAAGCATGTATGAATGAAAATGCTGCCTAAATACACACACAATATATATATATATATATATATATATATATATATATATACACATCCACTTCTTCGCATATGTATATCTACACACATATACACACATATACATACGGAGATACACATACGTTCACATAAACATATATACATAAAACCTTACACACCTCCATACATTTATATACACACACTCATCTAAACAAATATACAACGTATCTATCTATCTATCTATCTATCTATCTATCTATACATACATATACACATACACATATATACACCTATATACATATAAATAAGTATACATACATACCTACACACACACACACACACACACACACACACACACACACACACACACACACACACACACACACATACACACACACACATATATATATATATAAATTAAAAGGTAAAAGATAAAACATTTCTAAAAATTAAAAAAAAATTAAAAACCCACATCCTTCCATATATACAGTGAACATATAAAAATAGATGGGCGGAATTAAATTAATTTGTACTTAAAGAACGCTGAGGAAAAAGCGTTAACAATATTTAAAAGCCACGGAGTGATTAACGCGTATCTATCTCTCAAGTTTACGCATCTAGGTATATAAATATCAGAAAACTATCAGATTTTGTATATCAGTTATTTAGGAAAACTTTTACCTACATACCCACATACACATATATCAACACATGAATAAAGTTTGCTAACCCAAATTAAATGATCAAAAAATATATAGAGCATCACATAAACATAAACAATGATATATATAGATAATCATAAGAGTCATTCCATTTAAATGTCATGTCAGATGTTAGTGATCCAAGATAGAACTGTTACAAGTAACAACACGTTATAAAAACCGTGTTTATGTTTTAAATCGTTTTTTATGTCTACATTTGGAAATGATCTCACTACGAAGATTTAGGAACTCATCTTGATTTTTATCTTTAATAATAAATTTTTTTTCCGCAATGTATAGATCACACCGATTGTGGAAGTTATTAGGGGTTCTCACTCTTGATAAGAATCTTCATTCGAAATACGGGGTTAGTCCCTTATCCACCAAATCCCAGTAGTGTTTGAATAAGGAAGTTTGGTTTTTGAGGTATCGATATTTAAAAGAGCGTCTATGGTTGTATCGACGCTGCTTCCAATCACCAGCAGATATACCCATATATCTTCATTTTTTTTAATATTTTCTTCGGGGAAGATTGTTGCCTCGTATACTACATTCTCATACATACATTTTCCCCCGATTGGACAATTGTCTTTACTCCTATAATTGCAGGTGGGGCTACTAGATCGAGTTTCAATAGTATGGTAGTTTTTAAGTATTTTACAATTGTGGGAAGATATAAATTTCTCCATATTCCTTACACATGAATAACTAATTTTCAGTGTCTTCCTATTGAAAATTTTATGTAGTGGATGTTTACTATGGAAGTGTTTATCTATTAATCTTAGGAAGAAACTTCCTATATCAATGTTAGAAAGCCTGCAATACGGTGGGTTAAACCATATTACCTTCCTCTTTCTGTTTTTAGGTCTATTATTATTATGATTTTCTAGTTCTTCGTTATAGTTTAATTCCTGTCTAAAACCACTATTTTTGAGGGCCTGATTGTATATAAATTTATTATCGTTAAAGATTTATGGCTAGAAGATGGCCTATTTATTCTCGTATTATCAGTTTTGGGGATGTGATCTATTACAGATTTAGGGTGGTTAGAGTGGACATTGATCTATAGGGGTGTTTGATCAACTTTATGGAAGGGTTTAAAGGTATTATTAGAGAGGTTGAGGGTGATATCTAAAAAGTTGACTATTTTCAGGTTGGAAGATATTTGAATCTTAATGTCTAGGTATTTGAAGGCCCTAATTATTCTCTTATGTAAGCTGGAAATCAAGGAACCATTGCTATTAGGGACAATGAATAGGCCGTCATCTCTATAAATTCCAACTTGGTTAAGGCTAACTACTGTACTCAAGATATATATGCTCACTAAATCTGCAATTTTGGCAGAGTCGAAAGCTCCCATGGCTACATCGAAACTTTCATTATTCTTCTTCACCCAAGTAGCGTCATTGTATGTAAGTATTGATCTTCTTGACGCTAAAATAATGTCCCGATCATTATCCGTTATTTCGGTATATCCTTTAGCGAAATTAAGGCTGCTAATTAATAATTCCTCCGAAATAGAATGGTAAAATCCAAGATGTCAAATTGAATGAAAGTGGCTCTTCTTTTATTGGGGATCTTTCGGAACCATTTAATCCTCTCAGCCGAGTCTTTCCAAAGATTGACTGGATATTTATCCAGGACACATGATGTTATTTTCTTAAGAATATTCTTAGAAATTAATCCCAAAATAATGCATCGGAAAATAACTCATATTTATCTGTTTCTCACACATTTAAACCGTCTTTTAGCCCCTCTTTTTAAAACTCCTCTCTGTTAAATTTTAATCCCCACCTTCATTTTTAGGCCTTCCTGTTTTTATCTCGTCTGTTACACCTCTCTAGAACTTTCATTTTACCTCGCACATTCGTCCCCCACTCTCATACATACACTCTCACTAAACTTTATTTTTTATTCCCGGAGTTATTTTTTCTGATTTCTTTTTGAATTTGTAGGTCTGGTGAATTGAATCGTAATTACGATTCCAATGTAATAAATTATAACCATGGAATATTAGTATTTAAGCCTTTATATATATATATATATATATATATATATATATGACTTAAACTTTATTTTTAGTGGATACCCATATTTGAGTAGACGCTCTGTTTATTTATTAAACAATATACAAGGTGCGATGGATGATTTGTCGTCTAAATTACGCAAAAACGAAAATAATACTGACATCTCGTTTTAACAGATATATTCATTAAAATTACATAACAATATCATGAAATATTAAAGAGCACATTTATTCAATTTTATAAAATCGCCATTGGTTTCAACCACGGCTTCAAAACGACTTCCGAAACTCCCGCAACTTTTCTGGACGGTCTCCTTGTTTAAGTTGGTGAATAC